AACACTACCTCCAGTTGCCTGGGTTCTGCTGCTGTTTGACTAGTCTCAGGAAGGCAGGAAGGCAGCCTTCGATGGTGAGAACTCAGAATCCTAACTATCTATTTTAACTAAACCCTAAAGTCATCTGAAAGAGGTGTCCAAGCCTGAACACCTCCTTCCAATCCCAACCATAAACAATAGAAAGCTATCCTTAACTAGGCATATACACTATCCTAAGTGACAACAATGGGGAAAGGGGAAGAAAATGACTGCTGAACTTGCATAACAAGACAGTACTGAAGGGTTCCTGTTAAAATGGAGAAGTGTACCAGACACACTGTGGCCTAAAGGCTGAAGTTGGATGCCCCAACGTTACAGAGGAACTTTGGGTGACTGTCCAGGTAGCGAGATATCTCTGTCAGTTCTAGAGTTTATATATTATCCTTCTGTGGTCTTTGATAGAATTGAAGACAGATAGTTATGGTTATAGTTTTCTTCAGTTATTATAAGTTATCCCTTTTATTTAGACAGAAAAGAGATGATGGGGAAGTACTTCTGTATATGTTTATCTTATTGATTGTTGAATAAAGTTCTGTTTGGCTAATGAAACAGCAAGTTAGACAGGACTAGGTGTCAAAGAGGATTCTGGGAAATGTAGTAGAGAAGTGGTGATCCAGACAGGAAGTGACATAGCAAGGAGACTCATATTTTAGCAAGAAGAAACAGGAAGTGTCCCCTTTCCTCTTCCTCCTCCAACTGCGCCATGTGAGCCACCGGCAAGACAGGGTGCCAGCAAAAGGCATCCTGTATAAGATAAGTCTTATAAAATATATAGGTTTATGATAATTGTGACTGAGCTAGCAGATGAGAATCCTAGTCATTGGCCAAGCAGCATTTGAACCTATTACAAGTGTCTGTGTTTTAATTTGGGCCCTAACTCGGGTGGGCAGCTGGCGTAAAGGGCACATGTGGCGGTGGGGTTCCATGGCTTTGGTGGAAAGATTTATTGTAACAGTAGCTGAGCTCCATGTGTTCAAACATAGGAGCCTATTGAGGATATTTTATATTCAGACTACAACAGTGTCCCAAAGATTTTTTAATGCATATGTCCTGTTTTAAACTTCTTCTCCCTTCCTTCTTCTGTTCTTCTCTTTCCTCTTTTCTAATTTCAAAAGACCCAGAGTCTTTATTTTTCTACATTTTTGTGTGTGTATGCATGTGTGTCCATTTCTGTGTATATGTATGCATGCATGTGTTCCACAGCATGTGAGTGGAGGTGAGACAATGATTTTGGGAGTCAGATCTCTATCATGTGGATTCTGAGGATTAAACTCATGTTGTTAGGCTTGGCATGGAGTGCCCATTACCTGTTGAGCCATCCCTCCAGCCCAAAGACCTGTTTTCAAACAGTCTTTCCTCTATTTGAATTAGTCTTTTGTTGAGGCTTTCACCTAGATCTTAAATTTGACCAGTTGAATCATCCTGTTTTCAATATTTCTAACTGGTTTTTTCTAAACTCGATTTAGGGTTAATTTCTTATATATGTACTATATTGTCTTCCAAGTTTCCTCTATCTGTATTCTCTTGGATCTCATTAAGCTTTTTAAGAACTGTATTAAATTCTTCAGGCATTTCATTTGGGTTTATATTGACTCCTTTATGAGAATTGCCATTGGTGGTATATGTTATCATTTTTATTTTTATTTTATTTTCCTTCAAATTTCTTGTGTTTCTACCCTGAGATTTGTACTTCCCATGAATTAGGCATCTCTAACACTTTTATGTGCTGGGTTTTCCAGAGAGTGACTTTGTCTTGAAGGCATTTTTTTTTTTTTTTTTGACATGTTAGCTGGATGATGGTGGCTTTGAATTTTAGCTAGGCATTGTGATCCAGCTGTCCAATTACTATTGTGACTGTCAGTAGCATGTCAAAGAGAGAGAGAAATCCACTGTCGCTGTGGGCTCTAAAAGATTGGGGCACTCTTAATGATTCATTTGTGTGTGGAATGGACAGCCGTGGAGGTGAGGCGCTCACTTTGTAGCCTGAGTCATTTGATGTAGGATCTTCAGGTACTAATCATTTTGGCTGTTACTAGGATGGGTTTCTGGCAGTGCCAATATTGGTATAAGGTGTAAAGCCAGGCAGTGGAATGGGCTCAGCTATGCTTCACAGGGAGCAGTGGTGAACACTGCATCATGCCCACCCAGCAAGCAGAGCATGTTCAGATGAGTCATGGTTTGGGAAGCTGTAAGTGGTCTGGTAGCAGGAACTGTACTTCACCCTGTTGCAACTATGATAGGAATCATCTAAGAGGATTCTGGCCCTCTCTGCCATGCACACACAAGAATAGCACACTGTCTGGGTGTGGGTGGAAGCAACACACAGCCAAAGTCAGGCAAAGCTTCTCAATCAAGGTCATCTTTGAAAGTATGCATCTGGGGCCAGTGATAGCTTAATTTCCAGAGCCATAGCCTTGTTTAAGCCCCCCCAAAGTTCCCAGGTGCAGAGTAGGAGCAGAGCAATGATGCTCCTTCTCCCACTGTGTTAACAGCATTTGTGCATAGTGCAGGAGACAGAGCATCTGGAAGGATATGAACCCCTGTCTTAGACAATGTTCTATTGCTGGGAAAAGACACCATGGCCAGTGCAACTCTTAAAAATAAAAACATTCAATTGGGTCTTGCTTACAGTTCAAAGGCTTAGTGCATTGCCATCATGGCAGGGAGTGTGGTGGCATGCATGTAGCCACGGTCCTGGAGAGGAGCTGAGAGTTCTACATCTGGACCAGGAGGCAGCAGGAAAAGAAACTGGGCCTGGCTTGAGCATTTGAAAGACCAAAGTTAACCCCCAGTGACATACTTCCTCCAAAAAGGCCACACCTATTACAACAAGGTCATGCCTCCTAAGAGTGCCACTCCCTGGTAACCAAGAATTCAAATCTATGAGCCTGTAGGGCCATTCCTATTCAAACCACCACATTCCACTCTTGGCAATCATATGTTTGTAGCCATATCATAATGCAGAAATGCATTCGGTCAAACTTCAAAAGTCCCCATAGTCTGTAAGTCTCAACCCTGTTTTAGAGTCCAAAATTCAGTTTCTTGAGACTCATGGCAATCTATTAACTGTAATGCCCTGTAAAATCAAAATTTAAAATAGCAAATCACATACATTGAACATACAATGACCTAGGATATACATTACCATCACAAAACATAGGGAAAGTATCACAGGGAGGAAATACTGGAGCAAAGCAAGACCAAAAACCAGATGGACAAGCTCCAAACTCTGTGTCTCCATATCTGATGTCAAAGTGTTCTTCAGATCCCCAACTCTCTTCAGCTTTGTTGATTGCAACACACTTCTTTTTCTTGGCCTAGTTCCACTCTGTTAGAAGCTTTCCTTAGCAGGTATCTCATGACTCTGGCATCTCTAACATCTTGGGGTCTCCAAGACAATCCAGGCTTCACCTTCAGAACTTCACAAAATGGCCCTTCCAGGTAGGGATGTCCCTGACCACTATAATCCCTTTTTTGTATCCTTGACTCTAAAGCCAGACCATGTGGCTGAAGTTACTAAATTCTGCTGCTTTGTGGTGCTGGAACATGCTCCCCCCACCCGAGTTCAAATACATTTTCACAAACTTTTTGTTATTGATGATTTCCTTTACTGCCTAAGCTCAGTTGTCCTGGCACTCAATCTGTAGACCAAGCTGGTTTTGGACTCAGAGATCACATGCATCTACCTCCTTCAAATGCTGGTATTAAAGGTGTGCACCAGTATACCTGGCGCTAGACTTTTCTGTTAATTCATCTTCACAAGTTGGAAGCTTAGTGGGTAGGGTCTTGCCACCTTTTACCCATTTAGCATCAGGTTTCTCTTTAGACTTTTTATCTCTTTGAGTACTGAACTGGACTGCAATACCCTTCTTGGTACTCCATTTTTCCTCAAACAGTACATTTTGTATTTTCCTTGCTCAGCTTTCTCCTTTTCATGATAGACCTGCATAAGATTGGCCATTAATAACCAAACAGCACAGTTAATACTGTGCCTGGAATTCTCCTCTGCTAAAGCTATTGGTCAACAACTCTTCAATTTAGCAACAGACGGATTTTTTGGACAAGGGGAGAAAGCAGCCACATTTCACATTCTTTTTTTTTTTTTTTGAGGCTGTCCTGGAACTAGCTCTTGTAGACCAGGCTGGTCTGGAACTCACAGAGATCCGCCGGCCTCTGCCTCCCAAGTGCTGGGATTAAAGGCGTGGGCCACCACAGCCCGACAGCATTCCACATTCTTCCCCAAAATATCCCAAGAATGGTCTCTAGGCCACATACTAACACTCCTCTCTGAAACCTCCTGAGCTGGGCCACCACAGTTCAAATCACTCTCAGTACCAATGTCTTCAAAGTCCCTACTTGAATGACCCATTATGCCCTACTTAAAGCATTCCACTGCTTTTCTAATCCAAAATCCCGAAGTCCACCTTCCTCCAAACAAAAGTATAGTCTGGCCTATCATGGCAACAGTTCAGTCCCTTGTACCAACTTCTGTCTTACTTAGGGTTTCCATCATGACCATGGCAACTCTTTCAAAGGAAATCATTTAATGGAGGCTGGCCTGCAGGTGCAGGGGTTTAGTACATTATTGTCATGGGGGTGGGGGGAGCATGGTGGAGTAAAGGCAAAGGCAGACATGGTAGTTCCTGTGGGGTTTACCTAGTAGCTGCCCACAGAGCCAACAGAGCAGAGTGTGTGTGTTGGGGGGTTTCACATGGGAAGTTGAGGATGGAGGCCTTTATTCTGCTAGAGTAACCACATTGTTATGATGACACCTGGGTTTCTGCGAGATCATGTGGGACTGTTTTCCAAAGCCAGCCTATTGTGCAAGTTTTAGGCTACTAATCTAAAGGGCTGCTGGTCTGTGAGGATTGGTATGAAGGAGCTTGGTGGGACTCCAGCTTTCAGCTTTGCCTGCTTTGCCCCCCTGGGGAGGCAAGAGGGAGAGGGAATAGATACTCAGATTTACAGTATTCATCTTTTATTTTTATATATTTATATTATGATATTGTACAGTTTTTAAAGCTAATAACAGAACCCCTTTGCATGTGGATTTAAAGCATAACAAAATAAAAAGTATTTCACAAAAGAAGTTCATATTACAGTACTATGGAAATAGGAGGCAAAGAGTATGAGCATTTGTGGGTTATGAACAATACATTCAATTTAAAGAATAAACATTTCATGTGAATAACAGCATCTCGGTTATAATAAATACAGGAAAAGTTAAGGGCAACACCTGAAGTATATGGATACAAGAAAGGTGTTTTGTAATGGACACTCTAAAGAACAGTAGAGCACTTGTGCCTCGGTAGCATCTCACTAAATTTACAATCATTGTACATTGTTGAGTACTGAAAATGGGGTGCCCTTCATTCACCCCATACCTCAGCATACCAACCTAAGTTACCTCCCACTCTCCCCTGGGTAACCAGTACCAATGTTTACATCCGGTGTAGAATCATCTGTACCTTTTATCTCACTTGTTACTCAATTCCAATATTTAACTTAATAGAAAATGTACTCATAAGCAGAAAGGGTATTTTTTTATAGGTGATTAAGATTAGAACTTCTAAAAATTCTGTAACTGTTTACAAATATCCCACTGAACTTGGTTTTACAGAATGGTTTCTTTGGGTGGAAGATGAATACTTGCATTAAAAAAAAGAAAGTTTCCTCTTATAAAAAATTTTATAATGGGCATCCCTGACCATTAGACTCTCCTGCTTTTCTTTGGGAGCGGGCAAATTATAAAGCAAAGTCACTACAAGGGGTTGAGCCAATGAAGTTACAACCTTGCATTTTGAAAGACTGTAAGAAAACAACTGTTGTAAGCAGGGGATATTTCATCTTACTCAATCCTGTGACATTACAATGGACAAACACAAATGGCCAGCAGAAGTAGCTCTCCTCACACTTTGGGGATACTTCTATCAAAACCCAGTATAAATGCTACAGGCCACTACGATCTGGGACGAACCCAGTTCTGGCTTCATGACAAAGACCATTCAGGTTTCCTTTGTCAAATTCAAGGGTAATTTCAGCTTAAGATAGCCCCCATAGCCAATTAAAATGAGAAAACAGATGTTATTCACTTGAAAGTAACTATAGGAACAATACTATGTGAGAAAACAAGACTAGGAGCTCTGCCAAAGTTATGTGCTCCCTGAACACAGGCTGCCATACTGGCAGGTTAGTTAACCCTTCCCGAGGCTCTGGCGTGGCACACACAGCAAACTACCACTCAGATTCTGTGAGGAAACTGGTCTAAGATGAAAAGATTGAGGGAAACATGCCTCCACAGCAGGGTTTCCTAAACAACTCTATTTCCTTAACTAAAAGGAGCTTCACCATGTCTGTCATGTTTATGCACAAACGCAGTAGTTTGCTCCAAAGCATCTCCACTGAAATGTTACTCTCGTAACAGTTCTGTCTGCAGCAAGGGCCAGTCTTCATGTCCTAAACATATTCTAAAATTATATCTTTGTCGGCAAATGACTCAGAACTATCGACATTCATAGGCACATTGTAATACACATCTTCCCTCCTAACAAGATAAACGCGCACACACACACACTGAGTGGCCCAGAAGTTAAAAGAAAAAAAAGTTTCAATCTAAGAAAAGTGTTGGCATACCAAATATCTTTTCAAAAGGGAATTATGCTCTCAGAAAACCTGAAACATTAATGGATAAAATGCACACACAATATAAATAACTTGAATAAAAAAATTCTGAAGGGGATTGATCAAAACTTCAATACAATCTATGAATAAGAACATATGTTTATATTACAGTGTACAGTCATGAGTTAAATGTATTTAGATTTATAAAGAAACTGAATTATAGTTACTGCACGATTATTCCAAGAATATTGTTCAAATGTACAATAAAAATACACAAAGCCTTGGGCAATGTGCAACTTTAAAAATGACTATCACACCAGCCAAACAAATCCTTAACCACTTTTAAAATGGACTCATTTATACCATTTAAATGCAAAAAAGACTTTCAAAGGCATGAAAACACAAAACTCAGTGTCTGACTCACATTTAATAGTTGCATTTTGAATGTATAAACTAAGGATTTTAAATGTTTCTCAAATAGTTTGTCTGCAAACTAAGAGCTAAAGCACATACTTCAAACCCACCCCCCAAAATGCCTAAGTTCACAATTGTGTCCACTGCAATGTCCATATTGACTGAAAAGCAAGTCTTTCCTCAGGTTCTGCATCTCTCCTGATGGGTGCCAACATGTTTCTTCACCATTTGGCGCCGACAATCTTTGAACACAATTTATCAGCAGAAAACTCCCAACAATGATGCTCACACCTTAAGCCATGAAAGACTCTAGTTATACGTGCACTCTTAATGAAACGTGAGCAAGCCAAAGTCGATTTTCGAGGAGATTGAGCCTGGTAGAAAATGAAGCTTATATGAAAACTGGTTAAGGATTCAAAGCACATTAACTCTGACATATTAATCTTAACACCCAGACAAAAACAGGGAGGTATGATTTGCACAAAAATACTTTTTAAGTTATTTTGGTTGCCTTCTTCATGATTTTGCAGTTTAGCTGTTCGCGGTACATGCATGCATCCTCTTTGCTACGTCATAAACGTAGGCGATGTCTGGTCGCTTCTCCGGGTCTGGGTTGATGCATATATTAACTAACTGTCGGAGCTGAAGAGACAAAACAAAACTTAAAATCAGCCTTCTTAATTTTGAGCAAAGCAGTTCTGAATAGTTAGCTACAGGGCTGCTAATTAACTGTAGATATGGGCACAGGTACCTGATCTAGAATTTAGTACATTAGTTTTGGCAAGTTTACGTTTTCATAAATGGAGATGAGAGTATATGCCTGTCACATTTATCATGAGTTATTTTGTATAAACAAATATATACTTTAGCAGTCTTAAGTTTATTTTATATAAACTGTCAGCAAGACAAAGCATAAATATTACTCCAATCCTTAACTGTGTGAAGCAGTATTTAAATGATCTTACTTCTAAGAGTTGAGATCTGTCTATATGGAGGGGGGGGAGATTTCATTGGTTAAGATACATTCCTTTCCAGATTAATTAATTAGAATATTGGGTTTTGTTCAATTCCGATAACCTTTGCTTGGCAAATTATGTGTCTACTTATGACAGCATATAGTATCTTCATACGCGGTCTTTTTGCCCTGTACCATTTGTCGTTAGGAGTTGAAAACTTTCTGGCATGCACGTTAGCATAGCACTTAGTGAGTCACTGGATCCTTGCATTTCTTCATGTCCTTCATTGCAGAGATACTGACATGCTCTATAGGCTGAACTTGTTGGTTCTGTTAACAGTTCCCTGGCTTTAGCCTTCTCTTATGTGAGGAGGCTGGATGTGGTGAAGGGGGCAAGCAGCCTTGCTGAAGGAACCTTGCAGCCCTGTACCCTTTTCTTGGCAAGTTTATTCCTCTACCTATTAAATAGTGAAACTAGAGCTGACCATCAGAAATGCTGCCCCATTTCTAATTCCTCAATTAACAATGCTATTAGAATAAAATATTACGATTTCGTATCAGCCATCTTTGTAAACCATAATGTTGGATGTGGAATTTGTTATATCCACTGAGAGAAGGTGTGACAATATCAACTTACATTCCTTTCAAAAGAACATGGAATGGTATTGAAAGTGCTTAAAGAATTTGGCAAAATACATGACATTTTCTTATGTTGATTAAAATGAAGGCTGGCATTTTACCAGTTAAAGACAAATGCACCCAGTTCTGCACAATGCAGAGACCTTAAGAAAAGCCCTTAGATGATGATTCTTATGTTAAAAAAGACAGCGTGTCCTCCAAGGTCACCAAGCTGTCAAGAAACAAGAATGAGAAAGGAAACAGAAAAGGTGACAGGAAATGGTAAATAGGTTGCAAAAACTCATCACATTCAACCAAAATATCAGTGGGCAGAATAACAATTTACTTTAACACTGCCACGCTGAACAAGCTAGTTCAGAAACCACCCGTCTCGAAGGAACTTCAGAACAGGAGGCACTCTGTAGCCAATTAACAACAAAGGGCTGAGAATCAACCAAAATTAGAGGAAGGCTAGAACACAAACACAGCTGCAGACGTCAGAGCTTCCAAAGGAGCGAGCAAGGACTAGCAACAAGGAGAAACATGTGGGGACAGCTGAGCAGCACACTGTCCAGATGACAGCCATACAGGGACAGCCTAGAGGACACCATAGATGAAGACAGTGCAGAGTAAGAGCTTGCTTTCCCCTCCCCCTTTTTATGATCAATCTCCACCAATTAAGATAACTGTCATTAAGTTTTCTTTGCCAGTGGAATCACTGAGAGAATTATCACTATCAGATATATAAAATATGGAATCCTCAGGCCTCAACATACTCATGAATGTTATTAAAATACATTTTTGGCTATGCACTTTTGTATGAGTTAACATATCTAGTTTTCCTAACAATGCTACAGGACTATTACCAATACAGTGTCATTTTCAACCATCCAAGATCACAGAGGCCTTAGAAGGCAGGATGCAGATTAGAACCGAAATGCTCTCATTTCAGGCACAGGCTTTGCAGAACTATGTTACTATCATAGACAAATCCTGACTTGGTCTACAGGTTTCTCTGTGACCATCTCTGAGCAAGGGTGGGATGGCTTTTCATACAGTGAAGGGCAGGCTGTTGGCCATTGCTTCTCAAAAGACTGCTAGCAAGAACAGAGATTACAAGGTGGTGTTTTATCACAGCAATAGGAACCCTATGGCCAAAAGCAAGTTGGGGAAGAAAGGGTTTATGTGGCTTACACTTCCACATTGTAGTCCGTCACTGAAGAAAGCCAGGACAGGAACTCAAGCAGGGTAGGGACCTGGAGAAACAGAGGCCACAGAAGGGTCCTGCCAATTGGTTTACTCTTAATGGCTTGGTCAACCTTCCTTAAAGAAGCCAGGACTCAGGGATGGCCCTCACCACAATAGGCTGGGCCTTCCCCCATCAATCACGAATTAAGAAAGTGCCGTACAGCCAGATCTTATGGAGGCATTTTCTCAATTGAGGTTCCCTCCTATCAAGTTGATATAAAACTAGGCAGCATAATGAGGCTCTAACATTAATGGTTCTGCATTCACAGTTCATAGGACAATATGGATCAAAACATAAACCAATCCATTTTGTCTAGGATTTTGTAGGAAGGCATGAGAAAAAAACAGAGGCACTTTATCCTGAAGATAAAAACTCAAATATGTTCAGATGATTATTATGACCTAACATGACAAGTTTTAATTGCAATTCTACTGTTATTTTATAAACAACCCATCCATGAAACTGGCAGTAACTCCCTCCAAACAGAAAGTACTTGGATTTCAACTTGGACCAATCTCCTAATTAGATTATAAATTTAAACACAGTGGGCTAGAGAACACTTGCCTAAGAGGCATAAGACCTTTGATCCTCAGTCCTGGGGAGACTGGGTTGAAACCCTCATATAAGGGCCTCACTAAAAAAAAAAAGTCTCTAAAAAAAGTCACTAAAAAAAAGTCTCAAGTGAAAGTGAAAGGGCATTATATAATGCCCTCATAAAAATAAGAAGCAACACTAAATAAAGTCAGACATTAAAGATCAAAATAAGATGATTGCATTCAAGACCTCATTCGATGTTAGTTTTGTGGATGTGTGTATGGTTTTTAAGAAAAGATTTCCTACATGATTTTGGCTGTCCACTAGATTGCAGCAATTTTCCTACCTCTGCCATCTGAGGGGGGGGCATTAAAGGCATGCTTCCTTAGTACTATTCTTTTAAAAATATTTCTCTAGCCATCAGGAAGAAAGCACATTATTTTGAAATTTTCTGTAACAACTAGCCAATACTTTGCAATGACAGTAACTGACATTTTTAAACATGTTAAAGGACAATGTCAAGATAATAAAGTCAGGATTGCTATCTCTAGTCTAAGACCACTAGGTATGTGTTTGCTTAATAAAACTAGGTGTTTGTTGAATGGAGAGCTATCCAGTTATCACTTACCAGCTTCTGAATTATAACTGGCAATAGCAAGGACTGCTAACGTAAGCCAGAAGATACTCTTTTTCACAGAAAGTTTACTTCATATGCTTTCTATCTTTTTAAAAAGAGCTGTATGTTATTGCTTTTAATATAATATGCCAAAAAGGTGTGTCCCCTTAAGAGCCTTTACAAGCTAGAGAAAACTACTTAATTCATGTGCTTCCAAGATATTTAAAAAGCTATACAGAAACTTTAAATGACTAAAAGCTAATAAAGTGATTTGATATAATATTTCTAAAGAGTTATAAAGGTAATTTAGTTTTCAAATTCAGTAGATAAACCATTAATATATTTTGATCTATGTATTTCCAAAGAAATATCAAAGCATGCAGCCTAAAAACAGCAATATTAAAGAGAGTGTCAAGAGTCATTGTTCTCAGGGTGCTAACCCAATTACAGTTCAAGTTCAGCCACGCAGGGGTAATAACAGGCAGGCTCTTTGTGCATTATAGCTTTAGGTCACCACCACTATTCTCAATAGGATAATAAAGACTAATTCTATTGGTACTGTTTCTTTATCAGCCCTATCTTAATCCCTTTGAGACCAATTATGCTGTATCAGCCTCCCAGATATGCCCAATTTCCATCTATCCAAGGACACATTTTAGCACCCCAATGTTGGTCCTAATACATTAAAGCCACTATATTTGGAGTTTTAGATACTTATACAAAATGATTACACATATCCAGCATGGACACCAACGTGTCACTAATGATTGATTTAGGGGTAGAGGAAAAAAAGAAAGCCATCTTACACAGATGTAATGTCTATATTTCAAAATCAGAGATCATTCAAGGCCTTTAAGAACTTAATCTTACAGAAATTTACATGGTTTTATAGGATCCCACAGGATAGGTGAAATATAGGGCACCATTTTGGATCCGTGTCTCCAAGGAACAATTCTTCAGTGTCAACTCTAGCATAGGTGAACAAAAAGGGCCTGCTTAAATATACCTATATATTTGAACAAAAATGGAGTCAACACTTAAAGATCTACTCTTACACAGCAACCCTTAGTGATAGTAAGGGTTAGTAAATAGTACAGGGATGAGAATATGAAACTTATTAAAACAATTTTTAAGAAAGAAAATAAAATGCTCCCAGTCTCTGAGATCAGTGCACAATGTGACATTCACGTTCAATATTTATATATTCTACAGTAAATTTTTTTAAATCTCACTTGGAATATATGACTGGCTAATTCTAAAGATGGTACAAACCCTTGAACAATGCTCCTTTAAACCAGTGTGTATGCCACATATTATAACGCCGTTCATTTCGGCATCACTGTAAGGATGTGTTAGGAAAAACTTCCCAGTGCCAATTTACATGACTCTGGTTAATTTTCAGTGATGACCCAAAGGAATTCCTAAATAAAATTCGATTAGAAACTAAAGATAATTAAATGTTTGATATTATTTATGAACTTCCATTAACTTCAAAAAGTCTAGGTACAGCCTACCTGACACTTTCATCAAGTCTTTAAAACTAAGAATTCTTTGCAAATGTTCACTTAAAAATTACATCTTCTTGTCCTTTGTGAACATTTGGAAAGCAGACAATGTATCATAGAGAAAGCAGCACATCTGATCACTGGGGTGGATGCACATTTATATACTCAAATAATTGCTACTTTCCACAAAGTATCTGTATTCCTTCATCCTGTGTTGCATGGTCCCTGCATGATCACAAGCCAGATGGACATGAGCGCTCTCTAACCTGGTGAAGTCAAGGAATTTTGGAGAGGGTGGGAAGTGAACGAGTTTAAGACTGAAAAATCTACAGCAGCTGAGCAGTGTTTCTAGGGTGTGAGCTCGATGCACCACCAGCAGGGTGATTGCGTGCCCAACTCAAGTCCACTACTGCTCTCATGTAAACTGGAACAAAGCTTGTGCTTTCGTTTCCTTAACAAAATATTGGTAAGAGGGTGATTCTGTAAGTTGAAAATGCAGTATTAGTTTTATCAAAGCCACATAAACACATCATGTTCTCCAATAACCTATAAAATTCATGAGATCAAGTTTATTGAATTAAAAAATTTCTAGTTGATTATGTATCATGGAAAAACTATGGACTCTCTCTATAATCCTTGTAAATACTCTGAAAAATGATTACTATTACGTGTGTGTTCATGTGTGCAAGCTTGCTCACACACGTGTCCCAAGAATGAAAGTTTTTCTGTTGCCAGTTCTATTTTGTGTGTGTGATGTGCCAACCCAGGAAGACCAGAAAGGCAAGAAACTGCAAGCAAACACAATCCTGCTCTCCCACCATCACTTTTCTAACTTGCCATAAAAGAAACAATGAAAAGGAGGGCACAGTGTCCTAAGATGACGAAAATAACAGAACAGGGTGAAAGCAAAGCAGTCCGCAGCTGAGGTAAGAGCTTCTAGCCCCTTTCCTACCAATTCTGAGTGGACACAATCCTCAGGTCCACACCTCAAAGGATAATCTTATGACACATGGTTCCAATAAATTGCTTTTAAAAACAACAAACTGATCTAAAGATCAGAGAACTATAAAACTGAGGAACACTTAACATAAATCAGGGATACTATAATTTGGCTTCTTCAGTTATAAAAAGCAATAACAAGACTTAAGAAGCTAGTGAGCTTTCTAAAATGGAACTAGAAAAGACATTCTCTATCTTATTTATATATGATAAATTTAAAATTACCGAGTTGGGGCTGGTAGCACAGGCCTATGGTCTCAGCTACTTGAGGGTTCAAGTTAGGAGAATCACTAGGTCAAAGGCAGTTAGGGCTCCACTGTGATTTTAAACTCAGCCTACACAACTTAGTGAGATTCTTTATCTCAATAGAGTGCTTGCCTAGTAGGCCCTAAGTTCAGAGCCTCGTGTTACCATCAAACAAAAGGACTAAAATAACATTTGCCACAGCAATCAATTCAGATCTGCTGTTCTAATAACACAGGTCACATCTTTCCAAGGTTTTATAGGAGCTCAATTTTTTTTTTTTCTACTTAAAGCACGCTATCAAGTCTTCAATCTATTATTGCTTTGCTATTTTCTGGAACAAAGACTACCCCATCCTCATTTCATCTGGAAGCCCTTCATTCAACTTTTCAGAACTCTCTTTCCTATCTGGATATTCAAGCAATTTTTTCTTCTTCTGTTGGAGTCTAAAGGGATGATTGACAGAACAAATGTAAAATTCTGATGATCATCCCAGTGTCTCTTCAAGAAATTAAAAGCAAGGACCAAATACTTGTCATTTCCTAGTAAATGCCCCAGATTTTTCACAGTTGATGATGCTTGCGCACAAGAATGAGAAGAAAACCTACCCAGGGAAGAGTTTCAGTGACAGAGAGCTATAGGATCTCCTGGTACGCCTCTGGGTGATCTTGTGCCTCACTGCACAATTCCTTTGAGAAGTCTGTGATTCAATCATCATTGACTAGGCCATTCATTTTGTTTTGTAAATTTCTTCTTTTTAATATCAACTCCTTTACTTCCTCAATCAGTCCATCACCCAAGTTTTAAAATCCACCAGGCCCTTGCAATGTAGAGAAGAGCAGAGTTGCTGTAGATGCTTGGCACTGTACAGGGGAAGGTGCATATACCAAGGAGCAGCTACCATGAGATATGACTGCCAAGGGAAGGTGTGGGGAGAGAAGAGTCATGGAAAACAAGATAGAAGGATGCCAGCTGGAAAAGAGGAAACAGTATCTTTGAAAACATGAAAATTCAGGGGCCTTTAGTGGGACTCACAATGGCAGTGAGAGGAAAGACGTGTCCATGACCATTATGTTTAAGTGCAGGCAGACAGAACAGGCACTTGGCTTATGATTCCTAGCAAATAACAAATCCCCAAGAAGTGCTTGCTTTGTCATCACCCATTAGACAATGTAAACAGAGAGCTATCTAAGGGAAGGTAACTGTTTTCAATGCCAATTTTTAAGTATGGTAATTCTCTATTCACACACAGTTGAGGTTGTTACAGGGAAAGAAAAGGAATAAAGGAATATCAACTAGACACAAAACAAAGGCTGTGATACACATTTTCTGAGTCTCCATTTACAGCTGAAATATTTCAATCTAGAATCTATATTACATGTCTATAAACATTATACTTCAAAAGGAAAGATTTGGTGTACATACTTAAGTTTCCAAATCATATTGCTTTAGTTTGCTTTAGCTTTTAATGTTAAATTGTATTTTTCTTATAGTATATTAGCATGTGGGAAAATCCCCCCCCCTTTTTTTAAGCTCTTGAGTTCTTTTAAATTGAAATGGGATGACTATATTTAGAAGTCTTATTATTTTCCTTACAGAGGCAGGCTGGCAAATAATGTACTATGAAGTGTCCTTTTTTAAAATCTCCTGTGGGCAGGAAACTTAAAAAAAAAAATGTATCAGTGCCTAAGTAAATTTAGGAAGCTCTCAACATACTTCAGTTATTTTTTACTTTTCACTTACAGAAACCTACTATTTTAACTATTAGAAGACACAGTGATGTAGTACAAGTTCAGGGTTAAAGTTGGTGCTTACCTTCTCATTGGTATTCAGTTAGCAGCAAAAGGGACCAATGTGGATTTTTAAACTATTAAAGAGCTTTCATAATAAACACTGTGGATATGACTAATATCACTAGGGTGGCACTAAATCTGTTTGGAATTCTATTGCTACCACAAATTTGAAATAATTTGTTTATAAACAAGTTGAGTTCCTAATTAAGCAAGGAAAATATTAACACCACCAGCATTTCAAAGTCTTGAGGAACTCTGCATTTTAAATCAGAATAAAGCAATATTTGCTACATAGACGGCATGCTTTTCAGATTTGTTTCTTAAGAATTATTTTCCATGTTTACCAAGGCATTACAGCCTCCTGTTTAATCAGGGCACGACAAAGGACTTTACCAATACCAGCAACTGTACTCTCTCTTTTCGAAGATGCGCCACATAACGTTTTCCTTTATAGCTCTTTTTTGGAACTGGTAACCATACAGAGTGAAGTAAAAAGTGGAATCTATTTTCCTTTCCCAACTTGAAGACCTTCTATCTGGGCCAGACTTTGATATTTGCCCCTTGGCTGAGAAGCCGCATACCCGACTTCACACTTAGCGGCAGTGAAGTAGCCCTGCAGGCAGGCCGACTTCAACGAACCACTAGTGGTATCATCATTAAAATCCTGCTGAAGGTCACCATGGTAACCGCCTGCTGAGGCTTCGCTGCTGCGCTCGGCATCTCCTAATCAGCTACCATGTGAAATGCAAATTCAGACAGTCTGAAAATTAGTCAAGAAGAATAGGGGATGAGGATGCAGATATGTGAAATATTCATGGGCTTCACGGAAAAAAAGAAGACAGCATGAATGACACAACAAAGAAAGGCCCCTGACATTCTTGCTATCGTTTTGCATTATTGTTCTCACTCTACTGTATTTCTGGGCCTACAGTTCTGAAGTTGGTTTTGTGAAATGCCATATTTATATTCTATACCCAAAATAGTAATTAAAAATGGCTAACAGAAGAGCATGGTCATCATTGCTTCCTAAGAGTATGTTCTCATTATCTAAATACAACGCCACGAAGCAAAGATGTAGGCATCACTCATTATCAGTATCAAAACTATGAGATGGAATGTGTACTGATTATATTCTAGGAACACACATGGTCTACATATAACTAAAAAAAAAAAAATCTTCAGATGACCAGATGCTATTCATTTCACCATAGAAGGTATGACAAGATTACTTAATAGTGAGCACTGTAATTATCCTATATTTTTCTTTTGTTCCTTTCCATTTTCCTGGGGCAAAATAGCTGTTGCTCATGAGACGAGATGTCTAAGGCTTTACTGCGTCCTTGGGCAGATCCCAGATGAGAAGTCCCCAAAGAGCCTTGTGAGCTTTCGAGCTCATCTTAGTTGACTTGAGACACTGCTATTGTTTACTCCCCTCAAATAATCATGATGTATTAGGATAAAAATGGGAGATACTGTTTAATGAAAAACTGGATGTTGGGTAAATGCCCAAAACAACTCATTCCAGTGCATTTGCAAGGCAAGCAAGAATTCAGATCTCAAAGTCTTTGAAAATTGTCATTCTTACCCAATGTATTTTATAAACACATCTACCGTGGTACCTTAAAACCCTACCTCAGAGGAATCTGGCTGAAGCAGTGATGAGGTGATAGGAAGGGTATTGCCCAAGGAGAAAAAGTAAGACAGAAGAAAGTTCAGAGACAGGTGGCTGAGAGGTACATAGCTCTGATTTGGGAAAACATGAGGAGGGAAGTTCTACCTAAGTAAGTTTTCATTGTTATCTGAGGGCTCAGGACTGAGGGAGGACTCAGCCTGCCACAAGGTGCTGAGTCAGAACACTCCTTCCTCCTTTCAATGGGTTCACCCCACAGGAGAAACGTTATCTATGGTTCTTGCACATGCTGTGTTGTGTTCTGCTCCTCACTGTGACTCCACAGAGTTGTTTTATCAATTAAACTGCAAGTCTCCGAGCAATGAAAACAATGGAAAGTGTTCTTTCCACCACCTGTACTACCCATCTGTATTCTGAATAAAGTAAGATTGCTTAGTTAACAAAATGAGCAAAGGCAGGGGCTGAGGATCACTTACCTCCTCTGAGTAGTGATCTGACGGGAGAGGCGGGTAGTCACACTGCTCTATCTTCTTACACAGAGAGTATAAATTCATTTTGTCACCGTAGAAAGGGCTCTGCAAGGCGGCCATCTGTAAAACACTCCCAGTGAAACTGATGTATGCACAGAGCAACTTTAAAGGTGACTTCATCAGGTACAGGACACCGGGGTAGAAAATAATTATGAATACTTTTAAGAAAATTATATGAGCATTTTGATTTATGATTGTCATTTTCTGAGTATTAGTAAATGATAAAATCCTTAGTTTTATTTCTGAAACATTTAAAATTCCTAAAGAGAAATGGCCATCTCATACAACATAAAACAATATTAAGAAGTGCAAGATATTTGTGTGTATGTGCATAGCCATAAAAACAACTAGCATATTTCATGACAAAACAGATATCATATGGTATGGCTCAACAATGTAATGGTCCAATATAACAAAAAAGCTGACATGAAAATTGAATTAAATTTAACAAGGACTTAGGGAATAGAATGCACACCATTTTTTCAGGCACAGTATATTGTTTAGGAAAAAAGGTCATCTTATAAGAGAAGATACCTTTTTTTAATATTGTAACTGATCCTGAAATAGTTTAAATCATAAGTTTATTCTGATAATGTCTTAGAAACATTCGATGTGTTTAAAAGAATATCCATGTCTCCAAGATGCAAGCCCAGCTATCCAAAGGTGATTTTCATGCAGAAAAACATGACTTAGAGGATAAACCACTTTAAAAGAGACATTACTGAATTTAAATGTATTTTAAGACAAGGTTCTAACTTGACATTTAAAAGTGCAAGCAACTACTTGGTAAGCAAGGTTACGAACTAAAAATTCAATTTAAAATGTTCGCATCCTGTTCAAAACCTTCTAAATCTCTGAGCCGCAGCCGCAAGAATACAACATGGAGTGCCAAGCTGCCCCAAAGTCAGTCACCCTTTTCTACATGTGCTAATAAGTTTGATTTTGGAAGGACAATGTGTACATTTCCCAGACAGGCAGAGTGTGTGTGGAACACGCTGGTCCATGCTGTGCTACTCAGTGAGCGTCAGTGGGGACAGGACAAGCTGAAAATGGCTCTCATCTGTCTTCTGTACTCCAGACAGGGTATTAACTCCTTCAGAGCCTCAGTGAGGAGGGAACAGGATTGGAAATCCCACTTGGAAGGCAGTTTTACATACAGTTTTACCTAGCTCACACTATATATAACCGACACATACCCACACAGAACAACCCTGGGAACAGTTCCACATGACCACACAAATTAAATAACGATTAGAATGCCCTAAACACACAACACTGAGTGGGAATTTTTAACTGAGGACCCACCATCATAAACAATGTTTACGTTTAAAATGCAAATGTTAAATATGCCACCTCAAAAATACACCATTGATATAAACTATCATCTCCCCCACCTTTGTAAGACGTTACGTAAATGTACATTCATTCTCTATCACATGCTAGGAGTTCATTATATTACTTTTTGTCTCAATACTGCAGAGTGTTAAAAAAAAAAATCTGAATGTCCCCTAAGGAGTTAAACAGGAATAGTATATTTTCATGCATCTCCTGCTTTGACAGATGAAAAATGTCAACTGTCCTGTTTTTATTTTCAAGCTTTTGCACTATTCATCTGGTTCATTAGTGCATCTCGGCGCTGCCCCTGACAGCTGCTCGCCCTCTCCTCCCAGCAGCTGAATTTTTCAGGCTAATTTGATCCTCCACACTGAGACGATCGCTAGAATGATTGACTCGCTCCCTGACCTCCAGGGTCTGACTTTCCTCATTAGTATTCTGGGGGTGTCGGAGGGACGAAAGCCCACTGTCTGTCTTCGGGGCTGGTGGCAGCTCTCTTTTTTTTTGAACTGTAAGCCACCAACCTACAACCCTGTAAGGATGCAATTGCCACACTGAACAATAAAGGAAATGTGTAAAACCTACTTTTCCATGTAAAGGTCCATGTAGCAAAGCTCAGCATCTTGATTTTAATTAGTAAAGTCTACTTTGTTGCATATCAATTAAAACTGCACTCCTAGTTTTTTCAAAGGTTTCAGGAATATTTGAAAGTCTAATTTCCTGAGTTTAAAATACGTTCTAAAAAGGCCTTCCTACTCCTTCATTGTTAACAGTAATTTCTTCGTGGATTATTATAGGGGGGAAAAAAACCCAGCTCATTTGGGTTCTACAGCCAATTGTGAAAGCCTAAATTGCACTAAATTTATCTTTATAGTCAATATTTTCTCTTATTTTTTTTTAGTGTAAATTAGGTTTTCAAAATTGTCTGTAGCACCCAATAGTTTGCTTTATTTTTTTCTATCATAATTCACCAAGAATAAAGATAGATTAAATCTTTTTTAAAAGTTCTCAACTCTTGTATGGAAGATTCAAGAAAATGCATTGAGATGTGTCCTAACATGAACATGACAAACACTTGAAATTAGCACAACATGTATATGTTGAGGACATGGAAATGTTCAGAGAGCTAACTCTTATTTTGGTGAGTATGTTAAGCATACATTAAAAACAGATCCTGCCTCTTAAATGCAATTTATAAAATGTGGATAATTGTTTCAATTTTGATACAAGATTGCAAGAATTACATAACCTTCTCTAGCACTACCTCGACTCAGCTAACTTTAATCTCATGATTAGAAAATCATTTTTATCCACTTTTAGGTTATTTATTAAAGGGAAATATTATTTTGGTAGTAGATTATGGCCTGGATGACTCTTACCTTACCCTGGTTAAAAAAATATTTTAAGCACATGAAGTGATGTACTTTTAAATATTATAGCAGTGATACTGTCAAGCCAAGTCTTATCAACACTGACCCCCCAAATCATCATCAGAATCCAGAGTGAGCCTAACCCCTGGTCACCCCATGGATACACACACAGTAGCATGGGCCCCTCTTCGTCCCATGGACATACAGCTGCACATGTTGGACCACATCACTAATTCATAATATTTCACACAAGAGCATGTTAAAATTCTTCGAGCAGTCCTCAGTCAGGAGAGAAAGCACAAAACCAGAAGGTCACTTTCTTAAATTAAGGCATCTGTACTCAGCATAACCACAAACGGTCAACACACATTCACAAAGCACCTTGACGGGCTCCCTCCAAGCAACCATGGCACAATCACAGCAGATGACACTGGAGTCAGGAGAGCAAAACAGACACAAACTTCAGACTTCCTTCTTGAAACACAGAAATAACTCCATGTATTGTATTTCTTCAATTCAATAAAGCTTACTCAGATTCTGACTGCTTTTTAATTAGCAGCTTTAACTCTATTTTCCTGACATACAATTAAAATTCTATCTTAGGAGTCACTAACTTGGGATACTGTCAATGCTGATGCTCTGGAGGACAGTGGAAACTGTGTTACTTAGGTGCCCTTTCTACAGATACAAGACTACATCACAATATAAACAGAACTGCACTGTGGGACTCTACCCTCTTATGCTAAGAACAGAATTCTCAAGCTTAAGTGACACTGAAAGGCTTAACTATTTGCAAGCCATCCTTAAAGCTGGATTTTACCTGTGTAAATGGGAAACAAAATACCGAGAAAGATAAATATTTTCATGTCTTAAATCCATGGCATTATTCTCCTGCAATGCACTAAAAAGTTTTCACATATGTCTCTCTCTCTCTCTCTCTCTCTCTCTCTATATATATATATATATATATATATATATATGAATCACATATACATGATAAACAGAAAAGCATTATAGTAAAATAAGTATTAAAAAATCAAAAAGTCCTTGCCAAAAAAATGAGAATTTATTAGACAAAATAAATATGTGGGGACTTAAAATTAGTCATTGCCCAATAAATTAATTCAACCCCAAAAAAGCTGACTGCAAAATACTGTCCCCCCAAAAATAAATGTAAACTATAGCACTGGATACATAAGTGAAACTGCATCAATGTACAGAATTTATCGCAGTGCCTACCTCATATAGCAGACAGCCAAGAGACCAGATGTCAGACTTGAAGTTGTATCCATTTTCATGTATTCTCTCTGGAGACATGTAGTAAGGTGTACCCACTGAAAAGACAAAGCAAATAAAACTAGTACCATAAAGATGAAGAC